TTTGTCATTTCATTAGTCGAAATTAAGTTATTTTTGAATAAAAAAGAAAATAGTTTTGACAAATTTTCAAATATAGATTAATTAAATGATTTAATGTTCTTATGCGATATCACTTAGCATTTTCATGAACAGAATAAAAAAGTTCAAGGTAATGGACAAACTGTTTGAAAATATTAAAATATTTATGACGATACTTGACATCTTTACTAAGGATTTGAAAATAAAAACCATTAAATATTTTTTTCAATTACAAAATCATTTCAAAACAATAATTTTTGAAAATATGCTTGACATTCAAGAAAATGCAATTAACAAATTAATGATTATACAAAAACTAAAACAAGTTTTTGAGGAGAGATTTAATCAATTTAAAAGTTTGAAAAATATATTTCACTTTATTTTATATCCATACAAAATGGAATTGAAAACAATGGAGTTAAACGAATTTATGTGAATAGCTATCCATGATTTAGAAATGAAATTCGTTTAATTTCAAAGCAGCATAGTGTGGAAAAATATATTTCAAAACATGATTTTTGAAGAAGAAAGAATAATGTCTGAAAATAGCGTAGATAATAATGATCCCACACCAAAAATTGAAAATATTACAGTACAGCGTCGATTATCCGACTCAATTAGGGACTGGGGTTGGTCGGATAATTGAAAAGTCGGATAACCGAAAAGTATAAAAAAATCCATTATTAGTCTAGTATATTATTATATCCCATATAATTAGTATATTAGTATATCGCTATTAACCTACTTCGCGTTGAATTTTCATCGATGTTCAGCCTAACAAAAATTTTTTTAAATAATAACTGTCGCTATTGTATAGTTAAAAATTATAAAATTAAGCCTCGTTTAAATACTGGCTTCTTTTCATGGTCGAATGAGTGTTGCCAGCTAAACCAGTCGGCTGTTCATCGCGATAATCTGAAACAACACCATTGTTGCGTGACATTTTCTGGTTTTTATAGTAATTTTTAAATTTGCAATATTTCACTTAAAAATTGTTGTAGATCTGATCTGTTTTTTGCCTTTTATCATTCACATATCACACTTTACGATTGTTAACTTCAAAATATTATGTACATTTAAAAAAATTTATAAAATTCGAGAATTCAAAAAATTAAAAAAAAAAAATTTTTTAATAAACATCCGATTAATCTGTTATATATGTTAGATAGATAGGTCTATATACACACATATAAAAAAAACTGCAGCTTTCTAAACCGATGTAGAGAAATAATACGACCTATAGATTATAACGCCAATCGGCGTGTAAGGGGGGTGGTGGTTATTCTAAATTTAGGTCAATACACTTTTTAGTATTGATGATGTATATTTGATTCTATTTATGTTATTTACACTATTGTACTAACAGTGGTATATATCAAGCGATTATTACTTTAATATATTAACGATTATACGTGTATTTTTTACGTATTACGAAAGTTACGTGATAACCGGAAGTACTTTGTTTTTTAAAAGATTTATAATTAGATGGTTTAAAAAACATGCTTATTTGTTAAATAGGATAAATATTTATAAAAATTTACTAAACTGAAGCTAAAAATAGACGAAAATAATGATTTATAATTGTTTGTTTACGTTTGTAGCTAACAATGTTGCTCCGATAAAAATAACTTTTTCCCAGAAAGTTCCCACCCCACAAACCCAAGTCAACGCTTATTCGTTAAAAGATAGTCATTTAACTATAATATACCAATTAGAGGTCAACAGACGTGCAAACAAGAATTTTATTGTCCAATGAACGAAAGAACGGTCTCGCATAGACTTAACATGGAAAGGAAAAGTTTTGTGGGTAAATTTAAAAATAAGGAGTGGTAACAAATATCTTATTCGTTGAAACAGACTTAATCTATGTAGATAAATGCCAATCAGTGCTTAAATCGCCACCAACTGGTTAATTACGAAAAAAAATTGACACTTACTCCAATTGGAGTACTGCGCAAAAGTTTAACTAAAACCGGTTACTCCAATTACAGTGGCTAGAAAATATAGTGTCGAAAGCGCTTATATTCCTCCATTATAACCGTTCGGTCCATACATCGAGGTTAGTGACGTCACAGACAAGGTGGCGCTGATGTCAATCGTAGTGCTACTAAGGGTGCGTTTACTTCTGAGCTAATAGTGCTACTTCCGAACACCGGAAGTGACGTCATCAGCATGTGTATTTGTGCTTATATGTCCAGTTCGAAAGTAAACGCGAACGCTAACATGAAATATGGCGGTTTCCTGCAAATAATATTGTCAAAGCTGCTATTTTAAATGTTACGTTACAGATATAACTACTTGATTCCGAATCGGACGAGGATGATTTTATTGTGGATATAATTGTAGAAAAATGAAAAAAGAAAAAAGAAAAGTAAGGTAAAATAAAAAAGATAGAAACTTTTATTGAAGAGACTCTACCTTTTTATAAGCCAACCGATTTTAAACAACCTTAGACTTACAAGAGAATGTTTTGAAATCCTCCTCTAAAAAATAAGCCCAATTATAGACACCGAAAAATTACTTCCTCTGGAAGACCACCCGTGTTCTTCAAAAGCAGCTTTTAAGAGAATAGTAGATTATACATACACATAATACATATTTAAAGCAATTGTTTTACCCAGTGATTGGATGTGACGTTGTTTTGTTGTGGTGTAACTAAACTGAGTTCAAAATTAATAAATAATTGATATTAAATACAAAACACTTTTTTTTTTCCTTTCTTTCCTATAAGGCAGGGTATTGGCGATCGTTTTAATATGTTTAGATGGACTGCGTGGAATATTTTAAATAAAGTTGTTAATTCTTTCTTACAAGTTAGTGTTAAATGAAAATGAAAAATGATCTCTTGGCCAGCACACAGCAGGATGATGTAAGAATAATGGACTTTTTTATACCCAATATAGTTTTCCTGGAATTAGCGGCACTATTGATGAAAAGCATGTGGCTATTAAGACAATTGAAGAAGCAGTAGCCTATTTCAATAGAAATAAGTATTACTCTGTCATCATATAAGTTTAGTTTGTAATGAAAAAAATGGTATTCAAATGATACAATTTCTCGAGAAGTCATTTCCCATATGTAAGTGAAAATTCATTCGAGTATTCAAATATACAAACTTATATAATTTAGTTAATACAAACTTATGTAATTTTGGATTATTATTAATGCTGTTCATTTCTTTACGATTTATTTAATGCTCTGAACATAACATTTCTGAAGATTCCAAATGCGTATTAGGTAAACCTCACTTTTAATCATAAACAATGAATCGAACTTAATTTTTTTCACATTAATTAACTCTGTTTATGAAAAAAATCATCTAAAGCTATTGAACCTTACAATGAAAAAAAAAAATCATTGTAAACATTTTACACAACAAATAATTGAAATTTACCAATAAAAATATTTTCTGCCGTTTATTTTTCGAAAATGAATTCCATTTTTAGTACTTTGTACAGAAAGTAATTTTTTCATGAGAGCGGCCATATTGAATTAGCGCAAAGCTCGACAACGAACTAGCTAGCACTCCGAGCTTGCCAATTTCGTTAAACATGACGTCACATAGCTCTAAAGTAAACGCCAATGAGCGTGGCACTTGGACGAAAGTATGCAGGCTGAGCGTGCTGATAGTAAAATTAGCTCAGAAGTAAACGCACCCACAGTAACACATTTTCAGGTATCACTTTACATATAGACTATTCTTTTTTTCTCTTATTTCATAAAATACGGCTGGGTTTCAGAATTGCAAGATTGAGACACAGTAAAACCTCCATTAACGAACACTCCCAAATAGCAGACAACTCTATTTAATGGACAATTTTACAATCCCCAGACCCTTCAAATAAGTTATCTATTATATTTACTTCTAAATACAAATGCCATCATCCCTAACCAACCTTACAAAAATGCAATGTCACGCCTTCAATATTCTGAAAAAATAAATGTGAGAAAATGGAATATCTTCCCAGACTAAAGTGGTTGGCAAATCACCTTCATAACATGATTTTTGAACTTTTACCAAACAAATGCTATTGTCATAACTTTTAATAAATCAGTTACTAAAGACAAATCCCTGTAACAATTTTTTATTAGTTGCTTAGATCATAAATGACATTATAAACGTCACAATTCTGAATGTACAGTATTTTCCACCCCTTTAAATAAATAGCAAATTGATTTCGTAACTCGACATTCGAATGAAATTCAGCTGTAAAAATCTTGTTTTAATTGAAAAAATAAATATGTTGTATATATATTTTAATTATATATGCTACATATACTTTTCAATATATTCACATTCCTAGCACAAATTTGGTGTTTTCATAATCCATTGTATTCTTCATTATATGATGACCAGGTTAAGATACAGTATAGCTGCCAGCAGGTACTGTACCTTTGAATAGCAGACAAACTTCTCAGTCCCAATTGTGTCTGCTATTTGGAGGTTATACTGTATTTGTTTGGGCAACTTACTACTTTTTGAGCCACTTTAAAAATAATTTTGGCTACATTTTGAGGAATTCTGCTTTACTTTTTATAAAAACTTATCTGGCAACCTGTGAAGTTCCCACCAGACACGTGGTGTTTATCTCAGTTTATTTATAATATTAGTTTTATTAATTAACAAAAGTAGTATTCTGTATACATAGCCATATTCTGTTTGCTTAATAAATTACATCAGTTACATGGCATTTAGCATATTATACAGAAATATGTAAATCTCAGATAATTCAAGATTTGAAGTTGCGAATATTTTGTCTCCTGAATTCGAAACTAATAAGGATTTCCTGTAATAATCTAATCTCTTCAAAATTTAAATAGATATGTAGTATTAATTTATTTTCATAATCTTAATAAAAATACATATTAAAGCTAAATAATAATAAATATGAATAAGTATCAAAATATATGGAAACATCACATATATTCATTTAAAAATAAAAGTCTAATTATTTATACTCACTAATTTGATGTTAACTTACTTGACATTATTAATTAACACATCAACCTTTTCTCCTAAGAAAAATCGCTCTTTTGCAAAATTATAAACATCTTCACAAAGATCAGCAATTCTACCATGATTAGTCAAAGTAATTAAATAAAATATTGGACGTTTCAAATAATATGAAAATGATGCTAAATAACTTCGTGCTTGAGTTTCTGATTCAGTTGCTTCTTTAAAAGTAAGCCCAGAACGACCAGTTAATGAACAAGTCCACACAAGACTATTGCATAAAATCACACGTTCAAAAAATTCCCTGAAAATAAAATTATAATCAGAAAATTACATTATTACAGTTATCATCATACAAAATTATAAAATTTATATAAATATTTTCCAAAAATAATAAATTAAACATATAATTACTAAATATTAAATACATGAAGTAATTTTTATATCAGATAATTTATATAAACCAGAATGGATGTAAATAAATACATATTTCTTCTTAGACTGTATATATCAACAAAAAAATCTGCGCAATAAGAATTTTTTAAATACGCGTTCCAAAACGCAGTTATCGTTTATACAAATTAGCCAGTATTCGATTGCAGTTAGTTCGATTGTAATTTGTTCTTGAAAAAGGGCATTAAAGATGTCCGAAAACGTTTGAATTGGGATAATAAATTTGGCTGTATCGTAAAGGTTTTAGAGTTCTATTATTTGTTAATAAATACACAGTATATATTCAAGGATCATGCTTAATTACATTTGATGCATTATTGATTTTCAATCAAAACTGGCTCACTAATATTAATATTATGAGAAATACTGATTTGCAAAAACTTTCCATCAAAATCAATTTTTTGATTTTTATGCATATCTATAGTCATTTTTTCTCAATACATGATATCTCACTCTTCTGTTATTCTTGCAAAACATTTCAAAAAATAGCATAGCAATTAAATTTTGTTGTATTTTATGAAGTAAAAAGTTTCATAGAACAAAAGATTTAAATTCCTATAAGATCTGGACTCAACATTGCCTAAAAACAGATAATAATAATAATGGAAGCAGAAAAATTAAGTTGTTCTATTTCAATTTAGTTTGTTTCAGCTAAGTTATATAATATATGAAAATGATACCATATAAGTTTAGACAATTGCTGAAACTATTTCAAAACAAAGTAGCTTAGGGTCACTTTGCTATTCCTGTTAATTACAAGTAACTTTTTAGTTCAGTATTAAGTTATTGTGTAAGTATAAGATTTCCTTCATACTATGCGTGATGATAGTCTTGTTGCCGAGAATCCCCGCATGGTCAGAGACACATTGGAAATCTATTCTAATGTTGTTGTCTAAGTGTCTGAGAATGTGGTGAATGAGATGGATGCATTTTAAGCAGCTATCAGACTTTACAATCCTGTGTAAAGCTACCCTACCGTCAGAATAAATGTGATGGTGTAAGTAGTGTCTTTTGTCCTTCCTATGCCTAATATGAATTAAGCTCGTATAAATAGCTAAAGTTTTTGCCTGTGCTATTGAGCTGTGTGAACCTAGATGGAAGCATGTGTTGTAAAGCTCGCGGCCTACATCGGAGTAAACTATAAAAGTGGCACCCACATTGTCACCCATCTTGGAACTATGTGTAAATCCTAAACAAGGGATGATCATCTGGATCTTTGAAGTAAACTTCAGGGGCAAGCTGATGGGAGGGGTAGTACTCATAAGTCAGGAGGGTATTTTTGTCAATGCTGAATTTTCTGATGGGGGATCTTACCTACTCTAATCATTTTGTAGACATCCAAGTCGCTACAGTCTTGCCAGGGTAAGGTGATGCGATTTTCCTGCCAAATAATGCATTTAATTTCTAAGTTGATAGACATCAATCCTGACATTACCAAAAGGGCACTTGTGGGTGCAATCCTATAAGCCTTACAAATGTGGAGAGCTGCAACCCTTTGAACAGATAACAGTTTTTTACAGTTATGGACTTTGGTGGCCACGTGGCCCAGACCTGATTGGCATAGAGGATGCAGGCTGAATTGCACCCCTGTAAATAAGCTTAGTAGCATTAGTGCCAAAGCCCCATAGCAATACTAATGAGGGCGTTGACCGTCTTTTTAGCTGTTTAGCTTTTTCCGTGATGTAGTTGATGTGGGGTGTAAAGTTAAATCTCTCGTCAAGAATAACGCCTAAATATTTAATTTCCATTGTTTGCTTTATTGTGTGAGCACCTATTTCAAGGGTAAGCTTCCTGACAACTGGCGTGTTCCTATCTACTATCATGCAAAAGCATGATAGTAGGTAGGAAGCCGCATGAAGCTAGGATAATTGTGCATAGCCCTGTATGCAGCACCCAGGAGGCAGGGTGTAGTTTAAGTGCAGAATAGAATATAAGCTATGTTCCAGAGACCAAGACCATACCTGGATCCCTGAGGCCAGCCTCAAGTGATGGGTATGACTATGTTATTTTGTGTTGTATAAACACCTGCACTCCTGTTGCTAAGATAGGATTGAAGAAGTTTGAAAAGATTTTGAGGGCATTGATAGCATGTAATGTGTGCTGGATAGAAGGCTACCAGGTGTGATCAAAGGTGCCTCTAAAGTCAATAGTGATAATTGCAGTATGCTGATTGTTTTGTTTAGCCTGGTGAATGTAGTTAACGACCTGATGGATGGCATCTACTGTACCTTTGTTTTTAGAGAAGCCAAATAGATTCTGATGCAGGACTCTATGCTTGTGTAGATGCAATGTGATCCTATTAATCATTAAATTGTCTAACACTTTTTCCAGAGTTGGGAGAAGGCAGATTGGCCTGTATTTTTTGTAAGTGTTATCGCTGGTGGGTTTGGGAATCAATTTGACAGTAGCCTTTTTCCAATGAGTAGAAAAAAGGCCAGTGTTCAAGCAGATATTGAAGAGAATAACAAACACTGTAGGATTGGCCTCAAATGCATGTTTTATTATCCTAGTGGTTATGCTGCCAAGACCTGGGGCTTTGTTATCTGTGAGTGAATGGATGGCATTTGAAACCTTGATGTAGGTGAAGTTGTGGTCATTGTTGTATTAGGTGGAGTGAGTGTATTACTCCAGACAACCGCTTGTGTATTGTTATCCTGCTGTGGGTCATCTGAAGGGTAAAGGCCTGTGAGGATGTGCGTGATAGTTTCTTCCATGTTGTTGGTGCAGCAATCATTGGGGAGCTACAGAGTGGAGGGGGTTTGAAGCTGGCGTTTTTCCTTACAAGCTAGTAGTATGGTTCAGACCAGGGGTTGCAACTGCAAGTGTTGGTACAGAAATCCTTCCAAGTGTCAGTCCTTGTTTTATTTATAAGAGTTTTAAGTATTGTGTTCATGCCTGTACTGGTCTCTAAGTGTGACCTCGGGTCCTGTTCATTCCTAAATTGCCTCCTTAATCTCCTAACTACTTTTTTCTTGTTTTCTAGCTCAGTGGTCCACCAAGGAACCTTTTTGTGTTTATAATGTTTGACCTCTGAGGCAATAACGTAAGAGTTAGTGATAGTATTTGTAAGCCTGGTTACAAGATTGTCTAATGTGTCCTGAGTATAGTGACTGTGGTGAGGGTACCAGCCCAAATGTTATTGAAGGTATCGCGGAATAATTGCCAGTTAGTGCGAATATAGTGAAAACTATGATTATTAGTATTACTAGTAGTGTTCAGTTGGGTGAAGATATATGGTCACTGGCAGAATCTACATCGGTGGTGTAACGGTGGTCGACTCTAGGGGTGATGTGACCATTTCCAAATGTTAGGTCGATCCAACTTTCCCCTGTGGTACATGAGTAGGTTGGGAGGGTGCTGGTGTTCAAGTGAGTAAGGTTGTGTTGGGCCATGGTTTCGTTAACTATGTTACCCCTAGGATCATCTTTTGGGCTATGCCAGGTCACAGACTTGGCATTAAAGTCTTGTCCTATTAGGATAGGTTTATCTTTGTATGAGTTCAGGAGGTGATGAATGTCTTCAATGACCATCTCAATGTTTGTGGTGTCTGGAATGTAGATGGAACATACATAAAGGTGAGCATTATTGTCTGTAACACAGACAGTGGTAATGTATTCTGTAGTGTGTTGGGAGACAAGGCAGGCAGTAATGTTTTTGTTCCTGATGATAATACCAGCCTCGATGCGATAGCCAGGGTCCTGAGCTGGATAGAATTTCCAGTCATTGAACCTGACTATCATGTTGTTAATAGTGTAGGGTTCTTGAATCATGATGATGTCTGTATTGTGTATAGGGATTGCAATCCAGCTGGATTTTTGCTGGACCAACATCATTCCAGCTGGATCCAGTGCAAATGTATTTTTGGTGCAATAAAGTGTTATCTATTTAAAAAAAACCATAAATTGCTTGATATCTATCAAGCAATTTATGGTTTATGATCAAGCAATGTATATATAAGATATGATCAAGCAATATATTAATATATTATACAGTAGAACCTCGAAAACTCGGCCTAATGTGGACCGAAGGGTGGCCGAGTTTGTGAAAATGCCGGGTTATCGGGAATGGGGTTTAAAAAAATAAGTACGAGTGTTTCCTCAGAAAATACTGTACTGTACTTGTATGTACTGTTTACTTGAGAATACAACAGAGAATAAACTGCCCAAATACCCTTAAACAAAGGAAAAGTACGTCCTTTATGAAGGCATAGAGCCTTTACTACATGAAAATGAAAATTAATGAATACACTGTGTACAGTAATTTACCTGATAAGACAGACCTCAGAAAAATACTTTATGAGAGCATTTATACTTTTATAGAGCTGTCTATAATGAAAATTAATTAACTAAGGATTTTTTTGCCCTGCCAGGGTGTGCCCGAGTTATCCGGAGTGCCGGGTTATCGAGAGCCGAGTTTTCGAGGTTCTACTGTATTATAATAATGTAAAGACAGATAATCAGTAGCTAAATGGCTATCAGTCTTATTGGTTTTCTTATATAGGCTCTACATATCAGTCTGTAGTTATTTATAAGTAATTTAATTATTAGTGTTAGTAAAGTAGTGAGTAAATAAGTAGTAGTAGTCTAATAGTTAGTTATTATCACAATCATGAATCACATACATTCATATCATTATATATCTAAGATACTGATACTCATTAATTTAATTAACTATTTAACTAATTAGGTAGTCTCAGTTTCTCACTAATTTTCACAATAAAATTGCCTAGCCTCTAACCACCTCAGGTGGTTAGAGGCTAGGCAATTTATACATAGCTAGCCTTAGCAGTAATAAATGCATCAATTACAAGGAAGAGATAAATCTATCAGTAGTGTGGAAGGCACTTACGGA